CTGCTGTGTCGTGTGCTTGCATTGTAAAGTCCTTGCGACCTGTCATTGCATCCGAGGTTCCATGTGATCCATGAATATTCCAGAGATCGATTCCAGGAATTCTTCTGTGGCGAGCCGGGCGTGCCTTGGATGGGCAAGCAATACAACGGAGGACCTGGTACATATAATTATCATAATTAATTTAGGTTTAGGGTTGTGCGTGTATACGTGCCTGCATGTGTAATTATTTAGGCATATTGCGGGTGGAGGGCGGGGTGCTTTCATAGATCTTTCTTGGGTTGTTCTAGGGTTGTCCTAGGGCCTGTATATGTATAATATCCACCGCCTTTGACCCTGAAACCCTGAAATCCCCAAAGTCTTAGGTTCGACGCCAAAAGATCCTGTGAATACCATCATGATAAAATAAATACTATAGTCTCTATTCCGTCCAACTCAGGAGCTGGAACAATTCTGGAACCACACTCGCAATACCCAGCCACTCGATTGCACGATGACTGAATTTCAGGGCCTTGAACGTTTACACTTCGAATCTGGACTAGCACTGTTAGCCAGTGCTGGGATTGGGCTTCGGTTGTGTTTTGGTTGAGCAGGTAGAAGACTTCGGAGCTCTCAGCGTTAGGGGTTTAATGAATTTAATAATGTGAATTCAGGTTATCCAACCAGGTATATTTGGGGCTTAGGGTTTAGGGTGTAGGGTTTAGGCTTTAGGGGTTTAGGGTTTAGGGGTTTCGGGTTTAGGGTTTAAGGTTTCGGGTTCAGCAGCTCCAGTTCGAGCTATAGTCGAGCTGACTACACTGCAATTATATATAATATATAGTTCTAGTGATTCTATCCCATCCTCTATAACCCGAACGCACAAACACCAAGCTCAGGTGGTTCCAAAACCATCCCTTGCTGCCGACTCTGTCAGAACCTGGGCTATTTTTTTTATATCCCTGCAAAACTCCATGCAATGTTGCAGCCAGCTACCTGGTTACCCTAGGACAACGAACTGCTGCGCACAATACCTCTTGAAATCCACGGCGACGACGCCCAAGCCCACAATCGCCGGGGGTTTTTGGTATTGAGCATGCGAAGTGCGATAACGAAGGGATCCACCCTGAACACATTGTTCCCTTTATATATACTCGACAACGAACAAGCGGCGGACAGAACTGTGCCTCCTCGGCAGAAGTCATGCAGGAACTATATTGTTTTGCTGTGCATATTGCCATATTTACACTCTACATGGCTGTCAAGCACCAAGCAACCAGTGCGATCACCCCAGGTTGCCCAGCTCGACCATTATGTCGTCTGGAGCATCATGCAGCTCCAGCGTGGCTACACGGACAGCTTCGACGCCTGGGGAAATCCCGGCAGGGAGGTATACCAGCTTGCTGGCGGCTACCGGGCGGTGCTAGCGGGCATCAAGGGGGACCAACAGTGGGTCAAGAAGGCTCTATGCTTGGAGCAAAGCTGGGTCTCCAAGAATATCTGCTGGCATTGTTGCGCCGCTTGGACCGATCTACATTCAAGTAATACTCGCAAAACCTCCCCCAAGCCTGGAAAGTGACCTCTCTGCCAGTATTTTTTTTTGCAAACTAATCCCTGAGGCGAGTTCCCTGCAGGAGTCCCCTTACCTCTACACCACACATGGGCCGGATGCTGCACATCGCTCGACGAGTTTCAGATGCACGACATCTATGCAGGACTGTCCGGAAATGCAAATATATATTTTTTGTTTTATCCCGGACCACTATAATCTGTTTCGACATCTCAGGAAGCGTTCCCTAACAGATTTTATCTTCATGGCCCGCCGAAGTGCCTGGATCATGATCCCTGGCATCTCATTGGAGCGGATATGGCCGGATATCCTCCATATCCTTGATCTGGCACTGGCGCCAGAGGCAGCTGCGTCGGCTGCACGGCTATGGCATCAGTCCAGCTTGTGCAGGGAAGTGGAATCCGACTGTACAGGGTTTAGGGTCAAGGGTTTAAGTTCCGGATCTTGACAGATCGATACCAGCCGGGAGTGTTTATTCTGTAGAGCTAATGATTTATTGGGTGTCGGGCTAAGAAGAAAATGAGGATATTAGCTGCATGCCTGCATGGGTTGCAATTCGGGATCTGAATATTCAGCCTTTCACATTGATTAAAGAAGTCTTCATGTGTACGATAAATCCAGGTAAATATGTATTCATGTAATCGTGTCTACTTTGCCCAGCATGTCCAAACAGCGGATGTAGACTGCAGGTTTTCTTTGATGTAAATTCGGAGGGGTTTACCATATGGTAACTGCCGAGGGCCAGTTATATGCATATCCTGTGATCTTAGACCCTAATGCACCTGAAAACATGTCAGGACAATAGATGTTCATTCAATCACGCCCGTGGCTTGCCCTGAATACCCTATACCAGTGAATGGAAAATCATGCTACGGTATCCTGCTAAGAACCTGCTCCTGCCCTAATACCCAGCTCCTGCCCTAGGCCCTAAACCCACCCGGATCTAATTCTAAACCGTTCTTTTTTTTTTCATAGAGGGGGGAAGATCCGAGGCGCTCTGGGAGCTCACAACCGACAAGAAAGTTTGGCCTGGATCTTCACAGGAAGCCCGCATGAGCCAGGCATATGCTGAGTATGTGGCTGCATGCAAGAGGAACAACGTTCGCGCCTTGGCTGCCTGGAGTTTCTAAAGCAGCTTGCATATCCGATCCTGTGCCCTAGAGTTCGATCCCAGGCCTGGGGTCGAAAGTGTCTTTGGGAAAGCATTGACACACCATGTTCTCGAGCCATGCAGGATCCCGAGCTCCAGCTTTCAATCTGAAATCAATGAAGAAGAAGGGGGAGTTCCCTACCTTTGCTCAGAAGCATCTTTCCGGAGCTGCTCCGTGCCCGCACGCATTCGACTTTGTTTTCCTATAAGATATTCTAGAATTAGTCATGGCCGCATGCATTCGATATTTTTCCTGAGATCTAGTGTCGATCTATAGAGATCGTCTGGTTGGTGTGAAATGTCAATCGTATATAAGGTTGAGAGTGATTGAATAACACATCCATGGATCTCCAGGAATCGGTGGTGCTTATCAGGTGGCTGGCAAGTGTCACCCACCGAGTGGCTGCAGAGACCAAATTGCAACACGATCGAATTCGGGCAGCCCTCTTCCTGGCCCTGGCAAGCATGCGAATGGTTTTCACTTCCTGTGGCCTGATCATGGACAAGACCTCACTCAGGAAAGTGGCATATCACTGCGAGGTGTACTTCGACTCCTTATATTGGCTGGCGAACGAGGCGATCGGGAACAAGCAGCTCCTCTGGAAATTTCGCCCAAAATGTCATCAGCAGCTCGGCTATACGCTGAATCCGTGAACTCAATCCCAAGCATCAGGGTTTTTTCATGCACAATATGCTTTTGTGTGGCCGAAGTCCCGGGTTCTGACTAAGATTGGAACACCTCGTGTTCTCAATCCCAAGTATCAGGGTTCTTCATGCACCATGCTGATGTGTGGGTGAAGTCCCGGTTTGCGACTAAGATTGGAGCACCTCGTTCGCGACGCCGCACCGCTGCTCAACCCGATTCAAACGTCCAACTATAGTGAAGAGGACTTAGTTGGACGGATGAAAAGGCCACGAAGCTGCAATAGAATTGGTCTCTGGTGACCCTGGTGTGCAACAAACTCGTCCAGCACGACTCATTCTGTCGATCCAAGGTTGGCCCTGACCTGCCACCCTGCTGCCTTGGGGAAAACTGCGCTCCAGCGCTATGCTTGGCACGCCTGCGTGCGATGGCTTTCCGAAGAGGTCGAGCCGCGAGCAAAAAAGGAGACCGAGAGCAGCTCTGAGGCGAAACCAAGAATCCCAGGAGCCGAAGCACATACTCCAGAACAGGTGGAACTGTAAGTTCCGTAAGAGCTAGAGTGCTCGTCCTACAGATTGAAGACCCGAAGGAGGTGCAGCCCGAGAATCTAGGCCTTGGGCCTCTTGACTATCTAGCGATATGTGCTCTTGAACGACATGGGATGTTGTAAACCTAGATCTACATGTGTCTGAACTATACAACAGTGGAAGTCCCTTAGATGTGCTCCGTGCGAAATGACATGTATTTAGTCCTGGGCCCAAAAACACATCAGTTAGAAGGTCCTGGTATGTGTGTTTGTACATAAATGTACTGTACATACACCTATATCATGTTTGGCATTTTCCTTCGCACGATGCGTTTCACTCATCTCACATCACCATCATGAGCACTGCACTCCCCGTTTTGCGGCTGATCTCACTACCACGCCATCGGTCTTCTTCGCATAGCTAGATCATGCAGCAGCAGCAACAACAACAACAACAACCGCAAGGATGTAAACAACATGGTCATATTGTACAAACTACCCGGAACTACCCAAGCCTGCATTTACAACTTGGAAGAACACAGGTGCTTGCAGGCACACCCACGCAGGCACTCGCACGCACTTACATACACAGACACACACACACACACACACGTACAGCAAAAGGCAAGCTAAAGAATAAACACCTACAGCTCCAACACTAAGCGGCAAAACCCAAAGAACCAGCCCAAAACCAAAAAGCCCTAACAACATAATAACACACATCAGTTGAATCTCCGCCCCTTGTTCCTGGCTAGACCTCTAAACCCCTAACCTCTAACCCATAAGCAATAAACCAGAAAGCCTCTAAACCCTAAACCCCCGAAGCCCCCCCAACACACTAAACCCCGAAAAAATTGAAACCTATTCTTTGTCCTTGTGGTCCTGGCTGCCCTCGATGTAACCCCTAAGCCGAGGAAGGATAATGATAAAGACCCTGAACCCTCAACCCATGGGTCCTGGCTGCCCTCGATGACCCCTGATCCCTACACCCTATAGATCCCTATAGATCCCTTTAAGGAGCCCTTAAAGGAACCTAACTTACCATAAACCCCAAAGTGGTCCTGGCTGCCCTCAATAACCCTGAACCCTACACTCCTAAACCCTTTCAGTACCCATATAGATCGAGACCCTAGTGGTCCTGGCTGCCCTCGATGTAGTATCTCGTCGAGCCTTCCAGGACCGGGTCGATGTGGAACTTGAAATGCGACCTCAGGGCTTCGGGTTTTGAAGAGATCTATTATAAGGGTTCCTAAACCCTAAACCCTAAACCCTAAACCCTAAACCTTAAACCCTAAACCCTAAACCCTAAACCTTAAACCCTAAACCCTAAACCCTAAACCCTAAACCCTAAACCTTATTATAAGGGACCCGGAAGGGATCTTCAACTACAAAGGGGCTTCGGATTTCAGGGCTTTCGGGTTTGACAGTTTAGGGTTGTCAGGGTTTAGAGTTAAGGGTTTAGGGTTTAGGGTTTAGGGTTAAGGGTTTAATGTTTAGAGTTAAGGGTTTAGGCCTCCTTTAAAAGGCTTTAGGGCGTGATAGTTTAGTGTTTAGTTAGAGCTTAGAATTGACTGTTTTAGGGCTTCTTTAAGGGGTCATATGAGGGTACTATAAGGGCTCAGGGCTTTAGGTTTTTGGAGTTTAGGGCAAGGGGCTAGCGGCTAGAGTTTTGAGACTGAAGGGGTTTTAGGGTTTGGGTTTATCCCTAAACGCGGAAAAAGGCAGACCCGAATTCTACGGCTTAGTTGAGAAACGCACTGGAAATCGAATTGAGGATTCTCTTTGGCAAGTTCAAGCAACCTATCAGCAGCGCACCATGCATGCGTAGCTCGAAATGAGGCTCTTTGTTGAAGGGCTTGGAGGCTCAGATTATGGTTCTCTGGCCTTGTGGGTTCGAGCTTAACCCGGAATAACCTACCTTTTTAGGGTTCCTTATTATGATTTCTTTACACAAGTCCTTAAATATGTAGGTTCTTCGGGGTTAAGGAATGGTTTAGGGTCTGACGGTGAGGGATCGGTGGCTGAGGGTCCACAAACATTTGGAATGGGCTGCTTCTTCATAGGCAGATGGCGACCTGCCTACGTAACATGCTGAGCATTCCCAAAACTCTCTTGAAATGATTACGTTGAATTACAGAAAGGGCGCTTGACATGATTCAAGATCTAATCCTTGATTTAGGGGTCTTGGGCTCAGTAGGTCAACCCTTGATGAAAAACACCGCAAGCCCTGAGGGGTTTAGAAGGCCAAAATGCGATGCCGACAGTATGAAACTCCCAAGCATTATGGTCCTGCTTGGAGCGGCGATCTCGTACCATAGAGTAGAGGCTTTTCTCACTTGTTTCGCCTGGCCCTTGTAGCCCGTGAACTACGGAATGCCCGAGATCTTACGTTACTCTTCAGGGTCCGTGTCTATGTCCCATGTTTGGTGAACCTGCCCGTTTAAGAATGTTTGAAACTGCTTGATGTCGGGGTCGGCAAAGTTGCCATATTATTCCTTCAAGTGCCTTGCGATAAACATAATATAATATCATACAGCCTCACACCCTGTTCTCATTATGCAGTCCCATACCAGACTAGAAAAAAACCGTCTTGAACCCTTTAGGTTCAAGGAGCTCTGCCATACTCTAAGTATGAAGACCCCAGTTATTTATCAAGGGAAAAATCTCTCGGACCCAGACAGCTCCGTGAAATTCACCTTGGCCCGAGATGAGCGTTGAATTTCAGGGCCACGGTTTCGGGCTTCGGATTTCGGCCATTTGGGGTTAGTTTCGGGTTCAGAGTTTCGGGTTTATAGGTTGGTGTTCAGGATTTGGAAAGTCCTCCATCAGGGCTTTATAACACTTTGAAGAAGGGTTTCAAGGGGATACATGATTGCTTCTTATGATTTCAAGTGGTGGCCAAATAGTGTGGTAGCATTGTGGGATTCTTGCGTAAAACAATGACATACAGGGCTTGGACTGGTGCTCTTTCACGAACACTTACCTTTGGAGTCTAACATGGCATGACATCTCACAAATGTGTGAAAGAGGCTTCATTCGGGTTTACCACAGAGCCCAAACCGCCGAAAGTTGCAATCCCTGAATCAAGACGTACATTGGGTACTGCAGGTTTGCACATTCAGGTATAGCGCGACATGTAGTCTACAGGATCCGGGGGTTTCTACTCGTGGTTTAGGGTCTGTATAGCAGGGTCACGGTTTACTCGTAAACCTAGTGTCAGGCGCTTGGGGGTTTGAGCTGCCTCTTGAGGTTTGAAACTCATTGGTTTCATTAAAAGGTTTCATGGGACGTATATAGTGCTTTAAGAGGCGTAGCAGACCCCCAGACTCCGCACTCAGTCCTCACAAAACTCCAAAACTCTCATTCCTGTCAACTAGGACAGGAAGGCCCCCAGCCCGCAATCGGATAGCCTGACTATGCTTTGAACAAAACTACGGATTCTATTTGCAACTGTTCCCACTCGCAGCAACTACTCCTACTTGCAACTGATCTCGATTTGCTCGTGGGTCTATGCAAGCAGTCTCAGTCTTGCAGTCCTGTCGGGTTGAAGACAGCACATTGCTTGCACCAGGACTGGGAACTGCAGGACAGGAGACAGAATGCACCATTGAACTACCCAGACCTTCCAAAATCCCTTAATTAAGGAATATACCTTAAATCATATCAGGGATCCTATTATAATTTAAGGTATATTCCTTAATTAAGGGATTTTGGAAGGTCTGGGTAGCCCAGAAGGTTGAGCCAGTCTACATAAGCACAGGCGGTACCACGTTCTTTCCCATGTGCGCTTCGTCATGCTTTTTCCGCTGCCCGTAACTCTTCGGCCCATGATGGCGGTTGCTCCAGCCAGCCTTCGACTGTTGGCATCACTGGAGGATCACCGCGAGGAACAGATTGCGACTCACTGCTCGCAAGAAGGAACTCGGCACGAAACAACCGCTGTCTTTCAAGCCATTCACCTTCTGGCAGAATTCTTCGGTCTGGCGGGCAGTCTTCGTCTATTGCACATTTTTCGTGTTCTAACTTTTCCCCCAGAGCCCGGCACAATATCTGGTATCTTACTTACCTTTAGCTGATATCATAATTGTCTTGCGCATCCCTTTGCGCTCTCAACCCTGATTAAGTTTGTAAAAGCTGCCGCAAGCGCCTTAGTTTCAGCTGCTCCCCACCCAAAAAGCCCCAGACATACAGATAATTCAGAACTTTATGTTGAGAGGTCTCATATGAAGATACCCGCGTAACTACTCCTCGGGGCTCTACATTGCGATGTTAATGTAAGGTAGGGGCCAAAATCAATAGAATAGGGTTTCGGGCTCTGTTATACTTTAATTATAATGAGGAACCCCCAAAATAGCATGGGTAATTATTAAGGCCCCCATATTGGATTCCTAAGGGGCAATGGCACTGGGCTGTCTGGACACACGTTACACGCAGCAAAACATTGTAGACAGGCGCCAGACTCGTGTCTTGAACTGGGGTCAAAGATGCACCTACACCTACACACCCTTTAGAAACACATTAACAAAATTATGGTTGATATTCTCTTGGGTTTATATATGAACCACAAACTTCATCGTCACATTAACACAAGTAGGTTTAACATTCTCCCGGGCTTTATATGAACCAAAAAAATCCTCAACCCTAAACCCTAAACTAGCGCACAGTTCAGGCTCCGGGGCCTTAGAACCTCGCGTATACCTGGACGGCACGAGAACATGACTAGGTGGGGCTTTTAGAGCCTTTGAAAAATATTAGTAAATAAGGTCCTCTTAAGCCCAATAAGGGAAAATATAAAATGTCCCAAAGCCCTACCTAGATGATCAGCTCCTCCCCATGTTCTTCTGAGCTCTCGACTGTGTGGATCAAGCTCACTGCCTCTGCTGCTCCGAAAAAGCGCAGAAAGCTTTCGGCTGGAGGGGGTGAGGTCTAGGGTTTTGAGATTTAAGGGTTTAGGGTTTAGGGTTTAGGGTTTAGGGTTTAGGGATTATGCTTGTGGGCTTGGGGTGAAGTTTGGGAAATGAGCCATTCTTCTGGCCAGCTGCGACAGGGGTTTTACGGTTGATCCGTCCGGACCCATTCAAGGGTGTAATGGCACTGAAACTTGGGGTTCAAGGTTTAGGGGTTGAGGGGTTTAGAAGGTTTAGGGGTCGGGGGTTAGGGGGTTTAGGGTTTAGGGGTTTACGGGTTGTGGGTTTAGTCCTTTCGGGTTTGGGGTTCCCTAGGCCCTAGTAGAACCGTATCCGGTAACTTCTTGCTCACTATTCCATGGATGCACCTGTACATCGCGCTTCATGCTCACTGCACTGCAAGTCTCTCGTCCTTGGTTAGCTTCCGGTCCATGTCTGACAACTGCACACATGCTTCTTCCACTAGCCGGAATAGTTGATGAGGTTTCTCTCTGTGTTGCAATATCCGTCCACCTGATCTTGTCCCCATGTGGGGAGTGAAGTTGCGCCATGTCGCGACCTGTCCTTCCCACAGCTCCTGCCTCGTAGCCAGCAGTAAGCTCGATCATCAGGTGCTTATCGGACTCTCTGATACGGCCCTGACTTCGCTGGCAAGGGTTCAAGCAGGTTGTGACGGAACCAAGGCACCTTCAGGGTGACCACTCCCAGCAGCACTCGATTCACCAACCCCTTCAGGGTGGCTCCGTCAAACGACATAGACTGTGGCGGCAAGCCTCCAGAGGCAGCAGTCACAACTGCGCCACCCAAATATGGAACCCTCAAACCAACTGCTGTAACATGTCTTCTCTTGCCCCTTGCATAGAAGCATAATACACTCTACTTTAATTGGAAGAAGGCACCCCCTGAAACAACCTATTAAAACTATTAAAGGCCCCTACAGTACTTCTCACCATGGAAGTGGGGCGGAGCCTGAAGCAAGCATCCCGCCACCCTTCAACACAGTACTTGGAGGTTCATGGGTAGATTATAAGTGGGGTTATAAGTCCCTTAATCTGGGTTCTAACCATAGTTACCCTACTTATCACCCCACTTATAACTCCCCACGAACCTCCAAGCAAGAGGCTGTGTACGCGCCTGTCTACTGAGACATGCTGAACTCATCGCCACCCTCTACAGATTTATCATTCAAGCCACCCCCGAAATCCTCGTGCAATTATCTCAGAGCCTCGCCACAAGAAGATTGAAATAAAATTGAAAGCTTCCATAACACCTTGCTGTCATTATCTGTAAAAAACGAAATAAGCCCTAAACCCTAGGCCGAAACCTTCTCTTAATCTTCCAATCAGCAGGTGTAGATCGAAATCCGATCACTCCAAACTTGCTTAGGGTCCGGGCGTTGCCATCCAAGTTCAGGCAGACTCCACCCACGAGGATCCCCACCCAGAGGTACGAGGACGCCTGGCGAGCTTGGGCGGCAGCATCGGGAGATTTAGAGTTTACTGGGTTCTCGTTAAAGAATTTAACTTTCAAGTTGCCAGAATAAGGAGTCCATATTATTTACTATAGATCCCTATTACGGCAACTTAAGTTAAATCCCTTAACGAGAACCCAGTTTAGGACTTAGGATTGGGGGTCCGGTTTGAGGCTTTGGAGTTGTTTCGACGGGCCTGCAGTATGCACCATCGAAAAATGATGGGCACTGTCCCATGAGCCGAAATCCTGGAGTCTGAACCTTAAACCCTAAGTCCTAAATGCCAAGGGGTGCTGTAGATTGCCCGTTTCTGTTATCTTCTCTGTGCCCGCTTCCTCTTCAAAGGTATGCAGAGAAACCAACATGCTCGAGATTAAGGACTACCCCTTAATCTAAGATGTGCACTTGGCAATTATTGAGGTCCCTCCATCGTGCAACCCTTGCGGAACTTTTAAGGTAATTAGCCCTTATAGATGGCTTTGATGCAAGGCCCGAAGCTTACCCCTGCCACCGAGAGCAGGGCCAGCAGCACCGCCAGCATCATCAAGCAACAGGTACAGGGTGCTGCGCACCTTCACTAGGTGCCGATTGCAACAGTCCCCAAACATGTGTAAACTCCGGGTCAAAAATAAGGGGGAATTCAACACAAATCCCGAATCGATATACGAGGGTTGTATAAGGCTGCCAATGAAGTTTCTCTAGGACCTCATGTCTCTGTTGGTTTTCTGACGGTGCTCGAAGCGGTCTTGCAAGAGGTTTTGCAAGGGTTTGCTAAGGGGTCTGCAAGGGTTGGACTTACAGAGTCGTAGTGTTAGAAGCATGCTTTCAGGTTCATGGGTGTAATTAATAGGTGGGGTTCTAGGTCGGGTAACTGTTAATAAAATTCCAGTTGTTATTACTATTGTTTATTTATGTTATAATATTGCTATCAGTAGTCTGGTTACTGTTATTAGTATTGGCCATCTTTCGGGACTTGTAACTTCATGTAGTAAGCGTTGCAACAGAAGAAACTATGAACCTGGCTTTCATAGTGCCTCCGTCTGCGGTTAAGGGTTTAAGGAACAAGCCCAACAAAAAACATTACAGTACAGTACTCCACAACACAGTAGGGTTTCGCCGCCGGCACACAGAGCAGAAGCTCACGCCAGGGGGCCCAGCGGCGAGAACGGCAAGGCGCCAGGAGCAGACGGCGCAGCCGCGTGGGCGAGGCCACCCGCGCCGCAGCCCACGTATTCCATTGGGCGCGGTCTTCTTCCCACATGTGCGTCAAGACCGCCCTGGCCGTGGGCAGCTCGGCGGCCGACAGTTTGAACTCATCGACCACGGCGTCCCGAAAGCCAAGCTCCAGGGGGTCGACGACAATCTCGGTGAAGCGGTCGACCGCCGGGGCGACCAACGCCAGGGTGGCGGTGCGGTCGAGCCCGCGAGCCTTAAGGTATCTCCTGACGAATTCGCCAGCGCCCGCCTCCGTGGCGAGCTGGTCGAAGTCGACGAGGACGGAAGAGGCCGACGGGGGCATGGCCATGACGGGCTCTGATTATCTTCATCCGCCCAACCACTGCAACCCTACAGGTCTGGAAGAGGCTTTACGTATGATAAAAAGGTGTGATCCTCCTAAAGCCCTACACCCGAAGCCGTATACGGCTTTGAAACTGAAACAGTTTTACGAGGCTTGCACAATGACATGCGCTCTCGGTTTAGGGATTTAGGGGGTGGGGTTCAAGGTTTCAACCCCTAAACCCTAAACTTTGGGGTTTCTGCATCCGGGTCCAAGAACTTCCAAGACTGAAGAAACCACGGCAAGGCATAAACATCTGTAGCCTGACACCCGAACACGTATACCCTAAAGACAAGGGCCACCGACGACCACCGATGAACGGATTTCAGAAGTATAGTTGTAGTATACATAGAAGTTCACTCCGAACTGCCGCGATAATTCAAAGCCAAGCCCTTTGCCATATTATATGCCTGTTGCACAAGCGCCTGTATTCTCCTATCATGTACCCGGAACTACAGGAATTCTGCAGAACTCCTTGTTTACAGATAATGCTCCACTATACAATGAAGGCACTTGGGGTTCTCTCAGGCCACAGCTAATTAGAGGAGTGGGGGGGGCCTTAGCTTTTGATAGGGTTTCAGAGGGATTTTGGGGTGTAAGGGCTGCTCAGAAGATCAAGGGGGCGTAGCAAGTAGGCTATAGGTCGGTTCACTACCTTCCGTGGTCCTCTAAGTTAACCTTACACTCCAAATTTTTCAGAAAACCCATGCAACATACACAAATTGGAAAGCAGAACTCAGTAGTCTCTTCTGGGACACCAGGCTCGATGACCAGATCGTCGGCGCGCTTCGCGATCTGTGGAGGTTTGAGGTTTGGGGCTTCTACCCATGGGCTCCAGAGTAGTTCCTTTTTGGGATTACGTTGTGGGATTCTAAATATGAACCCAAAAAAAGAACTACTCTGGATTGTGGGGCTCACGGTTTAGGGCTCTTATAGGAGCAAGGATTAGGAAATCCTTGGGCATACAGACCCTCTCAATAAGGTCCCTTTTAAGAGAGCCGGAAGTAGGGTCCCCTTTGAGCTGTCTCCTTAATACAGGGGCCTTAATAATTAGAAAAGGGGTTGTGGGGCAGTATATTATACAAACTAGGGAACCCCAAAAATAGAATGGGTAAATAGGAACGCCTCTTTTTTGATACTACCTAAGTATCTTCGGGATCAGAGTTCAGGAAGGTCCTAGAGGCTCCAAAGTTAGGCGCTTTGGGGGTTCAAGGTTTACGGCTTTTTCGCGTTCTGGGACGGTTTAGGGTTTAGGGGTTTATGGGTTTTGAGGGCTTAGGGTTCAGGTGTCAGGGTTCGAAGTTTAGGGCTTTTTGGGTGCGGGGCGTTTCAGCGGCCATGACGATGAGAAAGACTTTCTGATGAAACGCGGATCTAATTCTGATGGCCCCATGAAGGCCCGACGGCCCGACCCTGAACCTTATAAAGTCTGTATAACGTACGATAGGGGTCCTTTTCGATTTTGGCGTGCACTCCTTGACTCCGCGAGTTGGGAGATCACGGCGACCCGAAACCCCCAAGCTCCACACTAACACACTAACCCGGATGCAACAAGGTATGGGGTTTCGAGTTTAGAGACCCTTGCAGAAACCCGTAAAAGCCTTCTAAGCTCTTGGCAACAATACACGGTGCGTTTACTCAATCCTGATACCTATACTTCATAACAAGGACACACACACACACACACACACACACACGTCGAAGCCTGCAAAACTCCAAACCGTAAAAACCAAGCTTCTGAGTTTGAAAGCCTGGAACCCCAAAACATTAAACCCGGAGACAGCTCCAACACCCTTCTACTAAAACCCTTCTGGCCACATTTCTGAACATCCCAATGTATGAGGCCATTGCTAATTCAAGCAGAGTTTGGTGGTACATGACAATGCAACCACACCACGGAAACAAAAGAAACAGTATTACCAATTATTCCGATCCTTCAACCCATCCTACACCCCAATCCCGAAACCCTACGGTTGATGACATTATAAATCCTGCATTACCTTAGTGACCTTAGACTATGGGAACTATTGCATATTCCTTATTATGGGTAATGCAGGATTTATATCATCAACCGTATCATAAGGATTCCTGAACCCAACTGTCACCAGTCTTTGGACCCTAAACCCTAAACCCTACCTAAACCCTAAACCCTACCTAAACCCTAAACCCTACCTAAACCCTAAACCCTATCTGAACCCAACTGCCACCCGTCTTTGGAAGCCTTCGGGTTCGAACTCAGCCAGGAGACGATCTGAGCTCATGCGGGACGCGCAGGGATTCCCGGGTCACAGGGGCTTGGGGTTTATGCAGGGGTCTAAGGCTAAGGGTTGAGGGATTCCGGGATCAAACGGGTTTAGGGCTCAAGGCTTAGATTCTTAGATTCTGGGATCATGCCGGGGGTGGTTTCGGGCTCTTCATCGCATTTGGCAGGGCTCTAGACCCTAAGCCCTAAACCCTGCTGTTGGGTTTCCAGCGTTTCACGTCGCAGGGCGAAGTGAAACTGCAGAGCTCAAGATGTGGAGGTGCTTGGCTGCCCTATACTTGGAGGTTCATGGAGAGTTATAAGTGGGATATACGTAGGGTAACTATAGTTATAACCCATATTTGGGGACTTATAACCCTACTTATAACGACCCTTGAACCTCCAAGTAGACTCCGGAACACCGCTGAGTGTTCTATGTAACCCGAAAGTTGGCAACCGGAGTAAGGACAATTCGTGCTGGGATTCCCCAGAGACTCCAAAATACCTGATTAAGGAATATACCTTAAATCATATAAGGGATCCTATTCAAATTTAACGTATATTCCTTAATTAAGGGGTTTTGGAGTCTCTGGGTCCGTATGATTCAGGCTTCTGGATTAACCCAAAACCCCCAACCCCGAACGACAAGCTCCACTCTCCAACCTGAAAGGCTGTTTTAGATCCCCCAAAAATGGACCTCCATAGGTATCCTCAACGTCTTCGATGAAGGAACTCTACTATGTTAGTTGTACATACTTCATCATACCGACGCGGGCATAGGAACTAAGTATTTCCAAGGCTTGGGGGGGCGTCTAGGGGTAGAGAGATCCTTAAAAAAGGGGCTGTTAAAAATCAGAATATGGTTTTGGGGCCCATTGCACTACAACTACTGTAAGGAGCCCCCAAAATAGCGTAGGTAATTATACTTAGGCCCCTATAGTACATGAAACCTCTTGGGCTATCCGTGGGCAGCCAAGCCACCGTGGCGATCGCAACACCCAGGGTCCACAGGGCCATGAGAACTAGCGGCACCTCGGTTTAGGGTTTAGGGTAAGGGCTCAAGGTTTAGGGTTCAGGGTTTAGGGTTTGGGCCTCAGGGCACCGCAAATTGCCCCCTCAGAGGCTTCTGTGACGATTACCATAAAGGGGTTTGTAGTTATCAGCCCTTCTTGTCTCGTCCGGGTTACACAAGGGTAGAGGTACCGAAGACACTATACATGCGAATACATATCCCAGGATATGGTGGGCTTCGGGCATCAAACTTCTATGTACCCTAGAAGCTGTATCCCAGCCGAAGTCAGCTAATCCAGCCGCTGAACAGCCGAGGTCGGCTTTGTGTTCTGGTTGTGGCAACTACTTGGAGGGTCGGGGGACGTAGTAACTGGTTATTTTAGGGACTTATAAGTACCATAACCCAAATTAGAGTTCCTTTTAGGGTAATTATAAGTCTACTTACTACCTGCTTACTAAGTCCCGCGACCCTCCAAGTAGAATTTGTCCTATGCTACCAACCAGCTCGGACGGAGTCCCTTGCATTCCTGCACGACATCCTGAACCCCGAAGTCTTACTATAGGGGCCCAAATAATTAGAATAGGGTTTTGGGGGCCATTATACTTCAGTTATGATCAGGAACCCACCGGAAAAATAGTAGAGGTAATTATTTCGGCCCCTATACTAAACCCCCCTAAATACCCCTTGTAGTAATCCTTGTAGACACCTTTAAAAGGAAGCCGTTAAAGGAAGTCTAATTAGTATGTATAGGTAGTTATCTAGGCCCCTATAATATTTTTACCCTAAACCCTAAACCCCTAAACCCTAAACCGAGTTATCTAGGCCCCTATAATATTTTTGCCCTCAGGAAACCGGGGAGCCTTGAAGTGGAACCCTTCACTGGGGCACCCACCATGGGGCCGATCACAACGAGCATCTGAAGGTGGGGCTTTAGGGGTTGAGGGGTTGAGGGGTTTAGGGGTGTAGGGGTTTAGGGGTTTAGGGATTTGGGTTTCGGGATTTGTTGTTTTCGGAAGTTGAGGGATTTAGGGTTTTCATGGCTTCGGGATTTATGGTTAGGGGTCAACCTGGGCGTGGGCATCGCTTGGGGATCTGGGGTATTGGGGTTTCGGGCTCTGGGCTTCCACCCTACATTCTAAACCCTAAACCGGAGGGCTTTGGATTCTGAGTTGTGGCTGTCTGCTAGAACTCGGTCGGGTCTGGTCTTCAAGATAATGCAAAGATCATACTGTATATATATATATATATATATATAGTATACCATGCATACTTCAATTACGCTTATATAAAGGATACTGCAGTATACTGTCACAATACCATCTGCCTTGCCTCCGAATTGCAACCCGCGCTCTGAACCTCTGGTCCTTAGGATGGCGTTTCGGGATATCTGGGTACCCTAAATAATAGGTGCCATTTACTATTTTTTCCGGACCCAAGAAGGGACCCTAATTTTGAGAACCACCCATATTAAGGAGCCGAAACAAGGGTAGGTTTCATAGGGTCCAGGGAGGGCTTGCAGTTACTGCGATGTCATGTAGAGATTCCTTTTGCAACCTATCATTACCGTCAATCCGAAACAATAGACCACAAGTCCTATGTGTTGGGGGGACCTAATTCCAAAATGGTAGGACATGGACCCTGTTGCCGGAAAGAACCCTTATTGACTTAATGTTAGCCCGATAGTACACTTTTCAAGTCCCAGCCTTCATCGTCCACTCCTGTGACAGGGCGGTGCTCATTGAGAAGTCAGCGGCATTCGCCACGTTGGAGAATGCTTCAACCTCGTCGCTGTGTTTAGTGCTTAGTTGCCTAGGAGTTCCCTAAACCCTCAACCCTAAACCAGCCCTAAACCCTAAACCCGTTCATGGTTTTCAAGGTCAAGGGTTTATCTTCCTGAAGCAAATGAATACAGGGATGCATTTGGGATCCTAGGGGCGGGCAGTCGCACCCTCCACGAACCCCAAACTGTGAAAAGATGCATTTACATACTAAAAACCCAAAAGCCCTAACTTTGGGGGCCCATTACACTATAATAGCTATAACAAGGAGCCCCAAAATAGTACAGTATAATAAGTAATAAACACGCAAAGACCCATACACCCTGAGGCCTAGATACTTTGCGCAAAGCTTGCGATCAGAGCAACAGGCATCCCATACAATACTGTAGGGGCCGTATTAATTAGACTAGGGTTCTGGGACCTATAACTATACTAACTAGAAGAAGGACCCCCAAAATAGCATAGGTAATCATTTAGGCCCCGATAGTATGTCAAGGAGTCGTAGGGCCACATTGGTCCTCTCAATGCAACAGACCACCAAAGCGACGGTGGGATTGTCTCTCGGCGGCAGATCACCCGGTGAAAGGTGGAAGTTTTGGATGCGGAGACCAGATCGACAATCTAAAACCTAAGTCCTACATGGGCATCAATCACAAGTGTCTCTGTCTCCGGGAGAGGGTCCAACGCAGCGCCGATGGACTTAATGCTCACATCGTTCGGGAAAGTCACCCTCGGAGGGCAACATGCCACTCTTCATCGCGGCACGGCAGACTGCAAAGCGAAATGAGGCGCTGCGGCAAACCATGATCCCCAAACTAAACTAACTAAAGCCTCAGGGTCCAATTACTCCTTAGTGTAGGACTGTGGGGCAATTTTCGGGTACCAGCAACCATAAATAAGGACTACTTGGACCCCTAGAAAAGTCCAGAACCTTCAGCATAATTTCACGGTCATTCAGCCGGCTTGCAACAACTCCCGGGGGCTGCAAGGGAGGTTGGGCACGGATGCTACCATAGCAGTCCAAGTAATTGCCTAATTAATAAGCGTTACGACTTACAACCATCCTAAACCCAAGTATTTCATTATCAGGCCCTCTGGCTCCTGACGGGCGTCAATGGCACCGCATGATTGTCCACTACCGAGCTCATTGCCGAAAACGCGTCCTGCGGAGTGGACACTGTTAGCGGCGTTGTGAGCGATGTCACCAGGATCTCAGCCGAGCCTCGTGCTGCTGGGCCCTTCTGTGTCCGATATTCCACCCGGTGCAGGACCGCCATCCATGCAGCACCCAGCGCCGTGCACAGGCTCCCCAATGACTCTGTATATATGGGCCCATGTAGAATGATCCCGATCGAAGCTTTGGCCCACGGAGGTGCGCCTTGACGTGCGCGGCCGTCAAGTCCTTGTCAAACCAGTATGTCGGCGGGTCTGCTGTCGAGCTCTCGGGCAGCAACGGCTCCGGTCCAGCAGGCGGCGGTGTGGCCACGCGCACGTGTTCCTTCTCATCAGCATCCCTGGATGCTTCCGGATCGACGACCGAAAGTGCACCCTCACCTCTGTGCGATGCCATACGCCGATGTCAGCACCTACTTAAAGGCTCATGGGACTTAGTAACTAGGGTTATAATTAGGTTAACTGTACTTATAGCTACTTATAACCCCTATTGAGGTACTTATAACCTGACTTACTATCCCATGATCCTCCAAGTACACTTCGGTATTAGAAGGCAGCGCGAGCAAGATGTTGTAAACATTGCGTCGGAGCCGAAACGCCAAAAAAACACCAAAGCCTAGCAGCCTACATAAAATCCTTCGCCCTGCTAAACCCCTACCTGGACCTCAAAAGTACGTAGGATAATGGCCTTTTATAGGTTTTTGGCCATTTTTTTACCTACTTTTAAGGGCTAGGTATGGAGTGATGGCCAAGATTCGTTAGAAGGGGCTGTAATAGTGGTATACTCGGAATATAATAGGGACCTAATAATCCTTATAGTCACTATTACAGCGTGGGGGCAGCTTCTCAAAGATTCGTTAGTGATCCGAAACCTCGGGACTCTCAATCCGCTGAGTGAGCATGTAAAGCTCCCGCAAGGGAAATATGGGAGTTTCCGAAAATTAGGGGTGCCTTACTTTGGGGTACTTATAATGAGGATCCTCTTATTTAGGGTACTATATTAGGGTCCCCTATTTTCGGAAACTCCCATGTAAGAGCATCCAGAGAACCTTCGTGGTGAGAGTTAGAGTTTTGCGGTCTGGGTATTTAGTTTGAGTGTAGAGAATTTACGATCTAAGCCAAGCCTAAACCCTATAAACCCAAAACGCTAAGCCCGAAACTCTAAACCCCTAAACCCTCAACATTGCTCTGCATGTTCGTGGTTCGGGGTTTAGGCCTTAGCGGCTTGCAGACCCCTTATAGAACCCTTAAGAATGGTTTTGTAATGAGAACAGAGGACCGTGGGGGTTTAGCATACTACAACAGCCAACGATCAGGAATCCTCGGGAATAGTATGGCCAGTCATTCAGAATAATTGGCACCATTCCTTTGGGGTTCCTTACAGACCCCCACCCTAAACCCTAATGAAACCCTAAAGCTAAAAGCCTGAGCCCTAAGCCCTAGACCCTAAACCCTCTGAACCCCTGGACCCCGCGCCCGAAAGCCTGACCCCCAAGCCCTAAACCACCAACCCCCTAATCCCTAAGCCCTAAACCCGAAAGCCTGACCCCTAAGCCCTAAACCACCAACCCCCTAACCCCTAAGCCCTAAACCCTAAACCCGAAAGCCTAAGCCATAAACCCTACACCCAAAAGCCAAAATCCTAAGCCCTAAACCCTAAACCCAAAAGCCTAATCCTAAACCCGAAAGGCTAGGCCCAAAATCATTACAAACCGGTCCCTGAGAACCCACAGGGCCGCCTTCTCGCTCATCTCCAGCAACTTCTCTTTGGCCTCTTTAAGGGTTTATGGGTGTAGGGTTCAGGATGTTAGGGTTTAGGGGTTTAGGGGTTCAGGGGTTCAGGGTTTAGGGGTTTAAGGGTTTAGGATTTAGGGGTTTAGGTGGCAGGGTTTAGGGTCAGCACTGTATGCTGCTCGGCACGAACTTCGCAGTGCAGGGGGTAGAAAATGCCAGTACAGGTTTTACAAGGTTTTACAAGCTCCTAAAGTAAGGAACATGGCTGAAATAACAAGGACGAGAAGGGATCCAGAATATGGCAGCCACGATACGATGATGATTCTTTTGGAAAACTTGCCGACATATCATGAAACTGATATTGCTGCCACATCATCACGTATTAAATTCTAGCATGGATTCTCTCAGAAGTGCCTGATACGGCAACCGACTTTCGACCAACCCCCATGCGATGGGTTCTGCAGTGCTCCAGGGGTCCTCTGCCGCTTGGTAAGCAGAGCCCGAACCTGTCTAACTAGCCCGAAAGCGAGCGGAATGCAGGGGCCTGGCTGGCCAACTAGAACATGGTTTTGGAGTAGTGATGGTAGCTGTTCAGGCCACCCCAAATTCCCAAACTCGGAAGCCTACGCCCCAAACTCTCAGTGAGCTCCATGTGTAGCAGGAGCACCAGTAGCAGTAGTAGTAGTCGTCGTCGTAGTAGTAGTAGTCGTCGTCGTCGTCGTCGTATTAGTAGTATAGTAGTACAGTGTGTGGAGAAAAAAGGCCCGATACCCGACCAAGAACGCGCAGTCAATCTTGCTGGGTCTGCAAGATTTTCGGAGATTTTTGGGAAGGGGGCCAAGAGTGCAGGCAAGCTTGCTTCGCTCGGAAGGGGGTCAGGATTTCATGGCACAATCTAGCCAATCTCTCTCAAGTGTGCACGATAGAGGGGGGGTGGGGGAAGCTTGAAATCTTGCACCGCTTGGACTGGTTGTGATGATCATGACGATGATGAAGAAGATGATGATGATGCATGACAACGAGACAAACCAGGATGAGGATCGGGACAAGGAATCTTTTGATCGTGAAGAGTGGAGGATCAGCATGCTGCTGATGAGGAGCCTAGTAGCGCGGCCACTGACCACTAGTGACTGTAAAACCTCCGACCAGACCCTGAAACCTGAATTCCTAAACTCGCAGCCTAAACCTTGCGACCAACTTACCCAGAGGGCACCACATTGCACTTACCCAAATTAGATCAAATTAGCGCGCGCCTTGTCGGAGGCCATTGCCATCATTTCCTTCGCGCCAGGGACCCTGACAGGTTCGCGGCCAAAAGTATAGGGTGTCGTTCAGGGTTGAACCACTTAGTGCTTAGAGGCTTAGTGGCGTTAGATGGGGGTCCTTTATCTAGGGGTCCGTACAGCAACGGCTCTGGTTTCGGGTCTCTGCACAGCTGGGCATACTACAATCTAAAACTTAAACCCTAAGCCCCAATCTTAAGGCCTAAACCTACATCGCAGGCGCCCTGAACCTCCATATGTCGTTGGAAATGCAAACGCCGCAAACCCTGCACTAAATCTTAAGCTCTCTCACTACGCTCCGAAGGTGTTCCTACTTAACATTTAAGCTATGCAGCTTGCAGCCTACTTACGCAGTTCCGGTTGATGTCAACAGGAGACACAGAGCGTCAGAAGAGCGAGCACCCAAAGAAAGATGATACCAGCCCTGTTAGACAGCCTCGTCTCTTCACAGCCGCTTTTGAGTGCATGTCACTGCCGACGGGCCAATGATCTCGCCAGCTGTCAAGTCTTTTGGTGCTTCCACGCATACTAACAATCTGACAAATCCTGCTCCAAGTGCAGGTAATGAGCACAAATTGCAAAAACTGCGCGAAGGTCTGCAAAAGACCTTTGCAAAGTCTTCTAGAGTAGAAGCCGGACTACCAAGTCTACAGTGGGTTGTTAAACTGTAGGAAGGGACCCAAAAAGGGACCATAATTTTCACAACTACCCATATAAAGCATGCCATTATCGGGCTTGGGGTTTAACGTTTAGCTTTGACCCGCACAGCCAAAGCCTAAAAACCCCCAGACAGACACAAAATCCTAAACCCTAAACTCTGAACCCGAAACCCTAAACCCAAGCCCTAAACCCCAAAATCCCAGACCCCAAACCCAAACCCAACATCCTGAACCCCAAACCAAAGCCCTAGAACCTAAACCCCTAAACACCTAAAACCCCTAAACCTGCAACTTCTGAGACGACAGAGTGCCCTCTTTGACTTCTAGCCACAGCTAGTCCCAGACCTTCCAAAATCCCTTAATTAAGGAATATACCTTAAATTATAATAGGATCCCTAATATGATTTAGGGTATATTCCTTAATTAAGGGATTTTGGAAGGTCTGGGGTTTTCGGGCTTGGTGATATTTAGGGTTTAGGGTTTAGGGTGATATATGCGAGTTTCCCAAAATTGGGGGTACCTTATTTTGGGGGTCCGAATAAGGATCCTACTGTTTAGGGTGCCATATTATTCGGAAACTCCCATAATGTAATATAGGGGCCTTATTAGCTGATATAGAGCTTCAAGCTTTACTGATAGGGGCTTAGGTGCTATGGTTTAAAGTTTGGGGCCTGGGCTTGGAGGTCAGGTTTTGGTGTGGCTTCTGCGCTTCGACATGGGAGTTTCCAAGAATAGGGGACCCGAATATAGTACCCTAAACAATAGGATCCCTATTATAAGGACCCCAAAATAAGATACCCCTAATTTTCGAAAACTCATATATAGGGGCCTCAATAATTTAACTGTAAATGCAAGAAGGAACCCCCCAAAGTAGTATTGGTAACCATTTAAGCTCCTATATTGTATCTTCAAGTTCTTCTACTCATGACCCTTACCCCTCAACCCTCCACCAGAGCTGCTCTACTGCCAAGGCACATCGCATTGCAGGTGTGTGGGAGGTCATCGACAACAGCCTGCGGCGTTCTTCTTACGCGCGAAGCGCACAGAAGTGTGGAAGTTAAAGAAAGCCAGAAGTGCTAAACCTTAAGCGCGCAAACCTCTATTCCTAAGAAATCTAAACCCTGAAACCTTAATCGCTCTTACGTCCCGGCGGTCTGCCTTCAAATTTTACCCATGGTATTGAAATCCTTACTGCCGGAAGTCCTTGCAACGAAGTGCTCTTGAGAACCCGACCTCAACCACTGAAGACAAGGATTGCCTCAGATCCTTTGAGCTGAACTTGCAAGCAGCGAGCGCCTTACTTGGAGGATCATGGGACTTAGTAAATCAGGTTATAAGTACCTTAATTGGGGTTATAAGTAGTTTTAAGTACAGTTACCCTAATTGTAACCCTAGTTACTAAGTCCCATGATCCTTTAAGTACACCCGGCACCCGAGAACCTTAACCCTAGATCCCCAACCCTAAGGCCAAGAGAGATTCCTCTAAACCGAAACTCAAAGCCTAAACCCAGAAATAGGCACAAGCGGCATGGTCACGGTTACCACTTCCCTCACCGTCAGGTTCATCGTCGTATCTTGCAACCAGGTAGACCAAATCCTAAACCTCGGTCCCTTAAGCCTTAAACCTTGCAAGTTTTGGTCAGTCCGATCCATGAGACCCGAAAGCATCTTACTATAAGGGCTGAAATAATTACCAGTACTATTTTGGTGGTTCCTTCTTATAAGTATACTATAGTATACCCCCAGACCCTACTCCATTTATTAAGGCCCCTACATTATCGTGCTCAACGATATCCTCTCAAGTTTTGGGCTTGCCAGAACCACCAAACGCTTGAAAGATCCGACCCATGACATAGGGGGACCTCATAAATAGAATAGGGTTTGGGTGTAATTCTCTTGCTAATTTTACTGTAAACCACACTGCTGCACCTGAAATTGCGACGCCATGTCCTCCAAATCTTTCCTGCACCGAGGTAACAGAAATTCTGGTGTTTGGGAAAGGGTTGACGGTTCAGGGTTTAGAGGTGGGTTGAGCTTCGGGGCCGCGAAGAGTTCGCACGTCCGCGCTGCGGAACCCGAAGATCAAGCCTCGGAGTGTCCGAACCTCAAACCTTTAACCGAATATGGCAGAAGCCAGAAAGTTGGAACATTAGTATCCTTATGCCCGTAAAGTAAAGTATATATAAGGGATCCTGGCACTTATCCTCCTAAACCCATGTTCCAGCTTTCTGGCTTCTGCTGTACAGGGGCCCCGAAAGGCCGTTCAACAGAGCCCTTAATTGTTGGTATTTGCGGTATATTAAAGGGTATTTACCAGGTAGGAACACAGGCCTTGATTAGACTAGTGTTTTGCGGTTTATTCCACTATATTTCTGATCAGGAACCCTAACGTACACTAGAACCAAGTATTCAGTTTTCTATACGAAACGCGAAAGTGTAAACCTTGGAAATGCTTATCCGGCTAAGAACCCTACCTGCCCCCTGAATTGGATGCCTTTGGTTGAACCGGCCTTGGGATTATGCTCCTACAATAAGAAGCCGTTGTAACCATAAACCCTAAACCGTAAAACCCCGAAACCCCTAAACCCTGGGTCTTGGTCGACTCTAGACGATCGCCCACAAGCTTCAAAAGCCAACCCTGGACCCTAAAACCCCGATACCGTAAACCCTCACTGGGTTCCGGTTAGGGGATTCCGGTTTAGGGGTTTAGGGTTTAGAGCTTTTGGGGTTTAGGTCTCAGGGTCTACTGGGTTCTTGTCAAGGGATATATGTCAAGTTACCATTATGGGGACCTGTAGTACAGAATACGGTTTCCTGATTAAAACCCCGTAACAAGAACCCAGCTAAGCCGTGGTATCCCTGCATCAATCAGGCACCCTGCTTCTGGTTTTATCAGTTTGACAAAGAAAGCTCAACACCAAAATGGGGAAAAGGGCAGACCTGGGGGGATCAAGGGTATGCATCCCTAAAACTCTGCACCCAAAAGGCAAGAATGAAGCCCTGAAGGAAGTGTCGTTGATCATCAGAGTTGAAACAATTGGTTCTGGCAAGGCTGTATGTTACAGAGGTTGTTCTTGGGTCCACTTACCTAAGCACTTATCTATGACCTGCCTAGGGGATATATACCCTGCTGCAGCGAATCATACCTTACCATGTTCTAAAGCTTCGGGTTGCGCCTGCACCAATTACAGCCTAGATTTCGGGAGTTCGTGTCTAAAGTTTCCGGAGCACCCATGAAGGCATAGATCCCCTGAGGATGAAGTATCCCTGGACACCCTAATCCCTCAAAACATGCAGGAGCGATGATGAACTTCGAACATATCCCTCTGAAATTATGCTCTATAAATTCCCGCGCCCCTTTCAAGCCGGTCTAAGCCAGAATAAAATCACTACGGAACCCTGCTTCTTAAATCCTGGCGAGGCTGAACCAGGAGCCCCGACGCCAGGTTCTTAGCACTCACGATGCTCTTCTGGACACGGCCTGGGCACTATGCGGAATAGAGCTTCGGGGTATATTATATAGCTCTGGTATACTCTGAAAACCGTAAAACTACAATCAAATAATTTAGGCATCTATATGAGCAGTCTATCTGGAGCTGGGGAACGGGCATCTTCTCCAAAGGTAGCTTCTTGGATTTCTTGCATTCAGCCGGCACCAAAGGCACCACAATGGGCAACTCCCTATGCGGCTTGCGCGGCACTAAGCCAAATCATTCAGCCACCTCTCGTCGATGAGGTCGTAGTGGTTGTGGCAGTAGCCATTGTAGCACAGCTACATAGCATGCTTGCCTTGATGCTCTCGCTCCCTCTCTCAGGGTACTGCCTCTCATCGTAAACGTAGCCGATGCTTTGGGCCCTAAACCCTACACCCCTAAATCCCTAAACTTCGACCTTGGGGTCTGTGGTAGGGCTCTTACGGTTTTATGTACTGTTGCAGGCGCCTGCAGGCTTTGCGTATGAGGGTTTCCATAGGGTTGCATTCAAGCAATTTGGGAGTTTCCGAAAGTTGGGGTAGCTTTTTGGGGCGTCCTTACAATGCATCCTACTTTTTAGGGTACTATGTTGGGGTCCCCTATTTTCGGCAGCTCCCCTGGATTTACTCTACTGTAGTTTCCCGTGCACTAAGAGCTGACATTCCTACTAATTGGTCAGACCTCTGTATTAGAAATCATAATTATCCTGGGTCAATCCCAGTCACAGCACTGGTGTCCTGGTTAAGTCTCTAGTATTCCTCGACTAGTCCCTCGCAGTAGCTTCCATTGTTCGGGGATTTGCTTGAAGCACGTGACTCTTCGTTTGAGACACCGAGGCATCACCCAAACCCCTGAACCCTAACACCCCGAAAAAACAAACCCAGGCCAGAGCAGCATTGGGGTTTTGGGTTTAGGGGTAATGAACTTGCTGGAAGAAAAGAGTGTTGTTGTCCGTAACCTTGTTCAGGCTTCGAGATTCGCCCAGCACATCCATAAGCTACAGCCACGAACCTCAAAAACTCTGGCTGAAGCCTTAACTCAAGCAACACCCAAGAAAGACAAACTTGCTTACACCCACCAAACCAAACTACAGAGTCTTTAGAAAACCCTAAGTTAACCAGAAACGACACTACCAAACACAACAACAAAAACCTGTACACAATCATAAGTCAAACAGCAAACCCTTAAGAAAACCCTACCTACCAACAAAATGCAAAGAAAACTACAAACACGCTAGAATACGCCAAGAAAACCCCGAAGCGAACTCCCAAAAAAACCCTCACTTAAACCCTACACCCGAAACTCTATAAACCCTAAACTCCATCCTAAACCCTAACCTCTAAACCGCCACCGTGACCCCAAATAACCTACCATTTTAAGGACTTGTACAAAGAAGCGGCATTCAGGAACCTGAAAAGGGTAGGTTTCCTAGAGTCTAACCGCTAAACCCTATCCTAAACCCTAAACCTTATCCTAAACTATAAACTCTAAACCCTAAGCCCTATCATAAACAATATCCTAAACCCTTTCCTAAACTCTATCAACCCTGAACCCTATCCCAAACCCTAAGCTCTAGACGGCTAGACACTCAGGACCCCAGACCCCCGGGAGCATCTAGAAAGTAGATCTCCTAATTTGGGGCCCTATACTACTAAGGGTACTTTATAGGAACCCCCATTAAGGGATCTACCCTAAACCCTAAACCCTAAACCCCAAAAGCCCTATAAATCCCGTAAAGGGGCCCTTAAAGGAACCCCTAAAGGAGCCCCCCCATTAACGGATCTACTTTTTGGATCCTCCCAGGGGTCTGGTGGGACTCGGAGTCGCGCGAAGCTGTTGGCCGATCAAGTCAAAGGAATGGCTGACCACCGCGGCCCCTGAGTTCCCAGAGACTCCAATATCCCTTAATTAAGGAATATACCCTAAATTATAATAGGATCCTTAATATGATTTAAGGAATATTCCTTAATTAAGGGATATTGGAGTCTCTGGGTTCCCAGAGAGGTTAAGGATTTCAGGGTTTTAGGGGTTAAGGGTTTGAGGGTTTTGGGTGTAGGCTTAAGGTTTAGAGGTTTAGGGCGTTGGAGGTTTAGGGTTTAGGGCTTTAGGGGTTTGGGTTTGGAGACTTGGGTTTAGGGCTTTGGGTTAAGGGTTTTAGGGCTTTAGGGCTTTATGGGTAGGGTGTAGAGTTAGAGGCATAGGGTTTAGGGGCTTTGGGGCTTAGGGTTCAGTACTTGACCTCCAGGTCGTTACGTGTGAGTAGGGTTTTAGGAACCAGGGCGATACATGTTCTAGGGTTTACTTGGAGGGTCGGGGGACTTAGTAACTGGTTATTTTAGGGACGTATAAGTATCATAACCCCAATGAGGGTCCCTTTTAGGGTACTTATAAGTCTACTTGCTACCTACTTACTAAGTCCCCCGACCCTCCAAGTAGGGTGTAGGGCTTTAGGTTGAGCGCCGGTTGGGGTCTTGGTATTTTTCGTGCTTTCGAGGGGCTGAAGTGCCTGGGGCTTGAGGACTTTGCCAGTTTTCTATAATCACCTGCAGCCTAAAAGACTTACCTTTTTAGGGAACTATATATATATATATATATATATAAAAATCAGAATAAGGAACCAAAAAAAGTATATCTTAGGGAACTAATAGGGAACTAATACTACATATATATATATATATATATGTATATATATATATATATATATATATAGGGAACCAGAATAAGGAACCCAAAAAGGTATGTGCTGAACCAGTGCTGAACAGTAGGGGTTCCACGGCTTCGATGTGGTAAAGTAATGACATTCGGGCTTGCACGCCCTGAACTCCAAGACCTGCCTGTTCCCCAATGACCCTTAATTAAGGAATACACCTCAAATCATAAAATTAAGGCCTCGATCATTTAAGGTATATTCCTTAATTAAGGGGTATTGAGGGATCTCTGGGTTCCACCAACCCGCTTTCCCTCCAAGCCTAGGCAATCCTGATTGGAGGCCAAAACGCGGGGGCTTGGGGTTTATGGTTTAGGGTTTAGGGTTTAGGGGTTTGGGGTTTATGGTTTAGGGTTTAGGGGTTTGGGGTTTAGTTTAAGATCCTTGGGGTAGGGATTCCTTAATATGAACACTATTCTGGGAACCCTAATACCTACTAAACTCCCATAGGCTAAAACCCCTTTTGGCCTGCTGAGCAATCCGCAGAGTGCGTTTCGCTTTTTCACCGCGGCATGTCGCTCTTGTGTCGGGACGCGTGGCCCTGAGGGGCGTCAAACACGTGAAAATCTGAATCTTGCACTGCCAGGCGCATGGTTTAGCAACTGGCGCTGCAGAATGATGGAAATAGTTGTGTTACACAACACCACTCATCAGCGTGCCTAGTGGAAAGAAGGTGTGAGCACGCAGCTGCAGCCGTAATGCCTAGCCTATAGTCTCAGCAGACTTGAAATTCCTACGACCAGAATGCCTGCGATCCTGAAGTTAAGCCCTAAACAGTTGTCACCCTCAACCCTATAAACCTGGCACTCGGCCGAACACCCCTTGATCAAGGAACATACCTCTAAACTACAAACCTATGTATTCTATAACACGAAAAAATTTGCGATTTGAGGTTGTGTCTTTTTCAGGCGTATCAGGCGCTTCGTAATTAATGCAGCTTCAATGGCGATGTTCGGAAACACCCGAACCCAATACCAGGTGCTTGGTGGAAGCCCTGCCGCCGTTCCCAGACCGAGGCCTAAATCTAGCGACCCTGATACTTTACCGGCATCCTTGCTGGAAGAGCTTGTGAACCAGGAGTTGAGGCACTCGAAGTCTTGTTCTTGTTCCAAGATGGCTCCCATCAGGGAGCAAGATCCATTAGGGTTTAGGGTTTTCGTTAGGGATCTTAAAACAAGCGACCATGTAGCACGGCACTGCAGAACCCGGTGTGTTCGAGAAACCCCAAAAGGCCTGACTGCTTCCACCCTCTTGCTCACTGCACACATTCACTGGCCTTCTCCTCCTGAGCCGCAGAGTGTGCGAGACGAGACCATGCAAACACATCCTAACGAAAAGCCGCACGCTTGTACTCTAGAACCTAAGCCCTACCGTTGATGATATAAATCCTGCATTACCCATAGTAAGGAATATACCAGAATTACCATAGTTTAGGGTCCTTAGGGTAATGCAGGATTTCTGTCATCAACCCTAATATGGGGTTTTATTTTCGAGTTTCATGCTGATGACCCAATAAGGATCTCCTGTGCTAATTCCGCATGAACCCCGAAACTCTCAAACCAAAACTTTGTATGGGTAGTCCTCAAAATGAAAGTCCCTTTTTTGGTCAGAGGCCTCAAAAGGTGGGATGAAGATAGGTGGGGTAATCCCAAAATGAGAGGCCTTATATAAGGGATCCTTAATCCTACCGACCCTCATCCCACCTTTTGAGGCCTCCGATTTGGGTACCCTAAATACTAGGTGCCGCATTATAATAGGGACCCAAAAAGGAACAATAGTTTTGACAACCACCCAAATCAAGATGACTGAACCCTCTCCAAGACGATGATGACGGGAACGTAAGGCTAACTTGCAGACTTCGAAATCTTGGCAGGGGTCTCACAGGCGATTCACGGCGTAGGGGCTACAGAAGGACCAGGGATTTAGACGGTATTTAAGACAGACTCAAAAAAAAACAGGTAGAGTGAGAACAACATTAAATGGACTATCCTGCACACGACACACAACCTTACCGGGCTCCGCCTACAGAAGAACACAGTTGAAAAACAATGCAAACAGAAACGGCTGTCGCTGCAAGAAAAATCGAAAATGGACAGGGTCCCTCTGCCCTAGTGCTTCAATAAAGAACTTGGCAAAAGCACTCTAACCGACTTGCCTACACTTTATTGCTATTCTTTCTTACGGAACATCCGCTAAAGCCGACCACCCCTGCAACCGCCAATGATGGGTTTAGAACGTGTCTACGACCTCCGAACACCGCTGCTGCTTCGGGATTTTGGGGCATGCAGGTGTAGGGTTTCGGAGTGCGGGATCTGCAGCGAGTAAACTTGAGGAAATATGACAAAATCGGCTTAAAATGATGATCAAAGCCACCTTTTGCTCTCGGTTGTTTAGCGCGGAATATATTTCCAAGAATCAAGGTACCCTAAACCCTAAACCCTATAAACCCTAAACCCTAAAGGACTAGAGGCCCCGAGACGATATGCAGATGCCAAGGATTTTGAAGGCGCGCATTGAAGGGCTAAGTGAGCGCCTGGACCCCAAAATTTTCCTTGTAGAATAATGGCCTTTTATAGGTTTAGGGTTTAGGGTTTAGGGTTTGGGCCATTAGTTTACCTACTTTTGAAGGTCTAGGCAATGCTTTCTGCCAGGCAGCCACCACCAAAGAAAGCTGTCCACCTCAACTCTTCGATGCGAGGCTCCCAATTTTAGGATTTGGGTCTGGCGCTCATAGCTGAGCCTACGTCAACACCCTTAACACCTGAACTATAACCTGGAAAAACCTTCACTACAAACCTAACCCCCTGCACTAAAGAGAATTGAACAAGTCAACGCTTAACCCCCTAACCCCTTACATAAACCCTTAGCGCTTATAGAACCCGGCTCAGCACAGACAAAAACGTATGAGACCTCACAAAGTAGGTTACCAAGTATCCCCATCGTGAATAACAGAAAGAAAACTGATAGTACTATACTTAATATACAAACAACAGTTATAATGACCAGTACTGTCATCATCACCGTCATCATCAGCATCCCAATAGTCATCATTTTCATAGTGATACAAAGCAATGATGGCAATAAGAAGAACAAAAACAAGACGAAGCCCTCAGCCCCAGAGACCTTTCGCACAGAGCCAAGTACCCTCAACTGCGGAAGATACCGGCATTGGCAGAAGAGGGTGAACAAAGCATATTTATGAACACGCCCTTAACCATAGACCCTAAACTCTATTCTTTAGTTAAGATGTACATGCAGCTCTCTGGGAATTTTTGTCTTCCCCGAGCCACATGCGACGCAGCTGCCAACCGGGACGACGGAGGCGGTCGACAAAGTCACCTAGGCGGCTCGCGTCACAGGGTTGAGGGCCGTCTAGGGTTTAGGGTTTGGTGGAGGGGGGGCGGAAGTGAAGGGGTTCGGTTCAGGTCTTGTTGGGTTAGCGCTTCAATTATAGATTTCTAAATAGGTAGGGCTTGAGTCGAGGAACTATACAGGGTCCGACCAAACCTCTGCTCAGAAGAACTCAAACCAGGACCCGAAACGTGGCCGAAGTATCCACGAGCAAAAACGCGCTCTTCTCGGAAAAGCTCACCTGGCTTCCTGAACATCCTGCTTAACACCCGAAGCTTCCAGCCGTCTTGTCAGCATTACAGAAACCCAGCACGTGAACATTGCCACCGAAGAACCAAAAGGGAGCCAAGAACGACTTTATGGCTGGAGGTTTCGGGGATTCGGAGGTTTCCGGCCGGGGGGAGGGCTGGGCCTTGGGATTTGAGGTTCAGGTCTGGAGTTCTGGCTAAAGGATTTAGGTGGCTGTAGGGGCCTAACGAATTACAAATACTATTCTGGGGGCTCCTGATGACAATTATAGTATAATGGGCCCAAAACCCGAAGTTATCACTGCTGCTTATGCACCTGCAACCTACAAACATCCATAAACTAAAACCCTGAGCTACAAAGCTAAACTACCTCCTGCCCGGTCCTTCACTATACCGCGACGGGTTTCCAAGCAAAAAGACTGTCTTTCTGTCCGAAGCCGAATACCTGGACAACCCTGTATACGACCACACAGAACCAAACCCTGCCGAGATTTAGGGTTTAGGGTGTATTTGGCACTGGAGTTGAAAGGCTTTTTTTAAAGAGTGCACTCTACGGTAAGGGCATGATTAG